TGCTCTACCATCCACGCGGTAACTTCTCTTTCTGACTTGCTATATTTTCGAGCCTTTTAGGTGAAATTCTCGTGAAGAAAAGTGTTTGAATAGACTATTTTGACGAAATTTGATTTTAGTCAAATTTTTCTTTTGGAAGATATGACATCCATGTGCGTGGACTGTGGGAAGGGTGTCATCTCACGTTCAAAGGCAGTCCAATGCGCACTGTGCGACAGATGGATGCATATAGTCTGCTGTAACATTGATAATGATCTTTACCAATGTCTTCAGCGCACTACCTCTAAAGGCATCAACTTTCACTGCGATTCGTGTCTAACATTGGTCAGCGACAAGCAACTTCTGACGAACCCTTTCAACGTGCATACTGCTTCCACGCAAGCCGTCTCTAACTCGGACAGCTAGACACCCAACTCTGCAGTGTGTCTGACGTCGTCTGGGTATTCTACACCGAAAAGGAAACGAAGCCGCGCGTCGTCCACCACGCTAGACTTAACAGCTCTGCCCAGTGAGAACGGGAATGGACTTATGCATAAGCCCAAGTCCTATGCCGCAGTCGCGAGCGCTAGCACCTCGGCAAAAACAAGGACAACCATAGCTGAGAACAAGGCCTCAAAGAAGATTTCCTCACGACCCAAGATAAAATCAAACCCAAAAACGTGGAATTAAAGCTCTCTTAAATAGAGTAGCGCAGCTTGAGGCACTTGTCAGAGAAAAGAAATGTCCACCAAAGCCAGCATCACCGGAACGAGACAAGCGGCCTGTTCGCAACCGCTGCCTGATAATCACAAACGTCCCAGAATCCAACAAAGAGACTCCGGCTGAAAGGATGCTCGACGACCAAGCCTTCCTCAAACGAATGGTCTCCATGTTATTTGATGCGCATGAGCAAGGAATAAACCTAATCTCTGCTTTTCGCCTTGGCAGAAAACAAGAGGACCCAGCCAAGTTTCGTCCTCTGAAAATCGTCTGTCACCATGAAGAAGAATGCCAACGCATCCTGAGACGGACCCCGCGCCTCAAGGGAGAAACCTTCTACGTTCTGAAAGACCTCTCCCCGGATGACCGAGTCCGAATGAGGCAAGCTGTCTGCCAGCTGCGAACTCGACGCGCAAATGGAGAAACAGATCTACACATAGTGGATTTTCGCGTAGTCAAGAAAACTCAGAGAGCTCGATGGAGGCCAATCCTCCTCTTCCAGGACCACAAACATAAAAAACGGACTACGGGTAATACTCGCAAATGTGCGCAGTCTCAGAAACAAGCTAGATGAGATTCCACTCCTTATCTCTGAACAGCAACCGGACCTAATGGCGTTCACCGAAACCTGGCTTTCATCTGACATATCTGACTCGGAGGTTCATGTTTCAGGATATCAGCTACTTCAATGCGATCGCTTTGGTGGGAGGTCTGGTGGCTGAGTAATCCTCTACACAAAGAACTACCTCAAGGCCCACATTGTCGAACCCGATTGTGACAGGGATGATATGTCAGAAATGCTCTGGTGCCGAATTCATGACGGATACCAATCGCTGATGGTTGGGGTGGTCTACAGAGCCCCTGCAGCACCTGGCTCACACTTACTACGTTCCGTGCGGACCAACAGCAGAGGAACAAATTGTCTCCTTATGGGGGACTTCAAAGCCCCCAACATGATTTGGGTCCTACTTCACAGTGATCTCTCACCTGACTCCTTTGAAGTTGCTCTCCTTGATACCGTTCATGAGTGCAACCTGACACAGCATGTCCTGACACCAACGCGAATGATCCCTGGTCAGACACCAAACATTCTCGACCTGGTTCTCACCTCGGCACCATCTGATGTCTCAGATCTAACGATCCTCCAACCTCTTGGGACGAGTGATCACTGTACAGTCTCCTTTTCGTGGACACGACGCCTCACAATCCACGATCAGGGGACACTGCGTCGAAATTTCTGGCGTACTGACCGGCCCAGATTAAGAACGACTGCAAGTAACATGGACTGGAGTATCCCGCAATCCTTAGAGCTTGATGACGCGTGGGAACGCCTACGATCTATGATGATGCGGCTCGTTGAACAGTTTGTTCCAAACTGCAAGAGCAGACCACCATCAAAAGGACCCCCATGGATTGATAAAGAAGTAAGATCCCTAATGAAAAACGTCGAAAACTTTGGGATCATTTCAAAAGCACAGGACAGACATCAAGCTACTTAGAGTACGAAACTATCAGAAACCTAGGCACCCTGAGAAAACGAGACAAAAGACTACAACATGAACATAGACTGGCCATGGAATCCCAAAACGGTCCCAAGAAACTTTTTGCCTACTTGAAGCGAAATGCCAAAACTGGTAGTGGAATCCCCGCTCTATCCTCTTTTAAGGAAGGTACCGTCCTCTACGGTGATGATGAAAAAGCAAATCTATTGGCTGCGCAATATTCCTCGGTCTACTCAGTGGAGTCACCATTGCTCAACAACTGTTTGCCTGCACACCACTCCTCTTTGGACGAAGTTGAAATTAACCCCGAAGTAGTCACTATGCTACTTCTCGAACTGGATCAGAACTCCTCCCCAGGCAGGGACGGATTGCATTCCAGCTTTCTCAGAACGATAGCTGAGTACGTCGCCGTCCCTCTCTGCCAAGTGTTTCGGCAATCCCTCGAAGTCGGCTGCCTACCCACAGGCTGGAAAGCAGGCACCCTCCTGCCCAAATACAAGGGGAGAAACAAACAAGACCCGGCCAACTACCGGCCAATATGTCTGACGTCAGTCGTATGCAAAACTATGGAACGGATAGTCAAGTGCGCTCTCCAGCTACACTGTGAGCGTCTAAACCTCATCTCACCTGCACAACATGGCATCCGGAGAGCACGTTCATGCATCACTAACTTACTCATCGCCTGGGAAACACGGGCAGAAGCCATAGATGCCCGAAAACAGGTTGACGTAATATTCATTGACTTTAGCAAAGCCTTTGATAAGGTTCCACACGTACGACTGCTACATAAACTCCAGGGAATTGGCATTACAGGGAATCTTCTCTCCTGGATTGCCGATTTCTTAAGGGGTAGGACACTGCGCGTACATGTGAACCAAACCCTTTCTGCTCCAGTGACCATGACTAGTGGCATTCCCCAAGGATCAGTGCTTGGACCAGAGCTCTTCAAACTATACATTAACGATCTACCGACTGCGCTACAAACCGACTGCTTGATCTACGCGGATGAACTCAAGCTTTGGTCAACAGTATCCAGCATTGAGTATGCGGACTGATTACAAGGGGCTCTAGACCAGCTACACGAATGGTCCATCAAGTGGGAACTGCCAGTAAACGGAGATAAATGCGCTGTCCTCCCAATGGGTGGCACCGAACCTTACGGTGCATACCACATTGGTGGGTTTCTCCTTAGGAATACCACCCACGAGAGAGATCTCGGGGTTATCGTGACTTCTGACCTTAGAACGACGCAGGACACGTTATAGAAGGTGGCCACTGGAAGGAGACTGGTAGGTGCCTTAAGAAGATCATTCGCTCGAATGACTCCCGAGATTTTTCGACCGTTGTTCACTTCGTAAGTCCGTCCAGTCTTAGAATATGTCCTACCAGCTAGCCATCCGTTTTCAAAGTTTGAATGCGCTCTGCTGGAAAAGGTTCATCGACGTGCATCAAAAGCTGTTCTGGATCTACGTGATCTCCCGTACCCCATTCGAGTCCAGCAGCTACATCTGTTCTCCCTCGAGCTCCGCCGTCGCCGGGGTGACCTCATCTACACTAGACGCATCCTCCGAGGGAAACTTGGAAGTGAGTTACAACAATTCTTCCGGCCCAACGCTGACTGTTCCACTCGAGGGCACACATGGAAGCTGTTTAAGCAAAGAAGACACAAAATTCGCATGGACGTCACCCTATCCACTAGAGTGGTGAATGACTGGAACAGCTTACCGGAAGCAATTGCAGACGCTCCATCCGAGGAAAGTTTCAAGCGGCTGCTAGACAAACATTCGCTGAAATTGCTGGAATCTTGCGGCTGTCACTGCAATTACGACGAACCCTCGAGGAACGTCGTAACGCAACGACACGCATCAAGCCCGGTATGACACGGAATCGATGGGGCTGACAAGGGATTTCCCTTCTGCTCTCTACAACTCAGTGAACTCAATGAACTCAATGAATCGGTGGGACCACAGGCGACGGCACCTCTTGTCTCACAGAGGAGTGCAACACCAGGTGGTGTTTCAAAATCAGGCGCTTTTTTCTTGAGCATTTTGTCACCTTCAGGTTTGAAGCGGACGGTTTGCGCGCTCTTCTTGTCCTCTTAGCATATTCTTAAATGGCCCAGGAGCCCGAGACTCGCCTTCCATTTGGGGCGGGTCAACAATGCCGTCCGAGACATCTGTGTCAGTTATATCTACATGAACTGGAGCGTCCGGTAGGATGAACACCTCAACAGTTGGACTGACATCACAAGGACAGTCCGTTACAGCGTCCACCTTCGCAATATTCAGGAATTTCATAATCAAATCCACTTTAAAGTGGAGCTAGGCAAGTAAGGCAAGCTCGGCTAATGCATTCTCGACAACTGTGAATCTGGACGCTAGTGCTTTGAATTCAGCACAGGTGAAAGCTGGGAGCTTCGCTTTCTGAGCGCAACAATCAGCGCACCTAAAAAGAAGGCTTTCACTGGATGATAGCATCTTGTACTGATTCGCTCGGAGGCCGGTACAACTTTTGTGATACCAACGAGAGCAAACATCACACTGCATACCACCAGATGAATCTGTGACTGGCCTTGAACAGGCAGTTGTTTCGCAAGCGCCAGGTCCCTCGGTATTAGTAAGTTAATAAAAAAGCGTATGCTTTAACTATTACCACTCAGTGGATCAGAATACGATGTAGCGTTTAAAGACATTGATAAACCTTTAAAATTATTGCATCCGCACCGTCCATCTCGGTATTGCCCACAAAAATGCTCATCCGTCTATGTTGTTTATGTTTCTCTATTCACTGATCATGATTGCTTTTTAACTAACATCTGTTGTCCATTACTGACCTGTGAATTCGTTGCGGGGATTGAACCAGTGGATCAGTTGTATCGGTGACCTTCAGCAGTGTAATTTTAAGTTCGTGGCTGGTGCTTTGCCAGTCTTACTCTCATTTGTCCGCTGCCGATAAAGATGAAATGTCGCTGTCTTCTAATGAAAATTTACTAGATTCCATTCCTGAGGAAAGATTATCAGGCGGTTGTCCTGGTGACTGTTCCGAGTAAGTACAGCGGTTTTGCGAAAACCACCGTGTGTTTCTTCAGCTTCCTATTGTAATCATTGCATTATGCAGTTTAGAATACGAAATGTTTTTTAACGTATCATGACTCTGTTTGCACGTTACTACGCCGTTAGTGCTCTTTCGTTTCGGCTTGCCCTTATTTGTTCCTATTTCTTCAGCGGATTGTTTAGTATTGATCTTTTGTGAGGGCTAGTCTTTATTTGTACTCTTTGAGTACATTACATGTTATTATGACGCATTATTTACATGTCAATGCGTTCCTAGGTTTTCCTTACTTCCCAATGCATGGGTGGCCGACAGATATCATGAACCCGGACAAAGCGAGTTCTATTCTTAACGATCTGCACCCTTCCAGAAAATGAGTAAACTACTGTACCATGTTTACGCCTAATATAGGGAACTATTTTTGCATAGCGGAAACCTACATTTTAGGCATTAAGAGCATGCGTGCGCACTTTTGAAAGAATATCCCTGCTACTTACCTCCGAACAACAGACCGAGGTAATAGCCTTCACTAATAGCTAGTTGTCGCCGGCATCTGGCAGCCTGAAGCTCATATCCTAGTATATCTACTATCGATCCGATCCATTCAATGCAAAATTTAGGGGTTTGCTTAATTTTCCTCAAGTCCATAGTTTCGAAGGTGGTTGCAGCAACAGTAATGCGTCAAGAAATGTGATGAAATTTGCTAAAGCTACTAGTCGTTGATGGTCCGTGTGGTTTACAGTGCGCACTCGGGCTTTGACCGCTACCTGTAACACACGGTGAGAACATTACTTCGAGCCCGGAATCGTCTACTTGCGTTTGACTCCAACGCAGTACATTGACAGTCTTCAACTTATCTGCTGGATATAGCAGGGTGGATAGTAGCGATCATGCTACTACTCAAGCGTTCCCGTATCTTGTTACTGCATTCACTTTTTCATTATTACCACTCCTTTCCAACTTTACTATTATCCTCCTGTTCTTGTTTCGACATCCGCTTGCATTCTAGTCTTAACTAAGACACATTCGCAGGGCTTCACTCCTGTCCAGTCGACAAGTCTATATTCAGTCGATCGGACTTCAGTTCATCCATTTTCATTTGGAACCCTTGATCCTCGCTAACGACTGGCATACCTCAACATGCGCACTTTGTTACAAGTTAGCCGATTGGTAACACTTGCCCGAACACCAAAAACTCTGTCGATCGCTACCTGCTGTTTATCGAAAACTCGCTTGCCGTGTTCGAGTTCTGTGCTCACCCAGCAGTCCTCCACTTCTGAAGCTGTCGACACCTCATTGTACTCATCAGGGGATGACGCAGCCGGTTAATCTAGTGTAGGCATTCATCTGAGTCCCCAGCCTGAAGCTACCCTGATCGATTGGATTCCAATAAACAGGCAGCTGTGCGCCGTCAGATTGGCTAGCTCGTACAAAGATCCGAAGTCGCGCGCTAACAGACAATGTCTGTTGGTCATTGATACACACACCACCACAAGCTGTAACAGTGAAAGATGACTTGCATCATCAGCTGAACGCGTTCTTTCGTCACTGTAAAAGTCGGTATACAGTAGTGCTCGCCGATGCTTTAAACACAAGTTGGTAATCTGTCCGCTGATGAGTTGCATCTGGGCAAACAACATGGTGAACGGTTGTTACACATATGTAAAGATGCTCATCGATTTCTTGCAAGCACTAACTTTCGGTTTTCAGGTAAGTCCCCCTTCTCTCCCTCTTCTTATTCTTTATTTCATAGGTCCTCATGGTTGTATGGCAGCGAAGCATCAGTTCAAATGGCTGATGTACTGCTGTTGATGATGACCGTCGCAACGAGACTGGACCTTAACGTGGTGCGACGGTTTGCGTACCTCATTGACCCATTGAGCTATACTGGGTGATGCCTCCGAGCATCTTGAGAGCTACTCCTACCAGGTTGGTCAATGGTGAGAGGTCAGACAAACTTAGTCTCCTGGTCCTCCAGGTCGGGGGTTTGAAATGGGATGGCGTCCATTTCTGTAAAACTAAATCACTGCCACCCCGCTGCCTTGCGGACAGGCTTTTGAGCCAAAGGCTTTGGATGAGTACCCTAATCGTCCTCCTGTCTAGGTCTGGGCGCCCTGGAAGTATCTTAGCCCACATACAACCATGACATTTTCTTCAAACATAAACTTCATCCTGCATCTGCCGTCGCGCAGATTATCAAGGGTCGCCTTATCTGCTACATACAGCAGGGCGGATAAGCGAAAGCATGCTACTGCTGGCGCCTCCCTTCTTTCTTTTCCACCTTTTTCTCTTACTCCCATCGCGGCCCCTATTACTAACCTTCCTTCTATAATTCCCAGCTTAATTGACAGCAACCGAAGTGCTACTGGAGTAAGACCATCTGCAGCCACCATCCCACAGCACCTATCGGACGCCTATCGGCAAAAGTCCCTTATAAGGCCACGCTGTCCCGTTTCCATGGCGACATTCAACGTCCGCACTCTAAGACAAACAGGTCAGCAGGCTGCACTCGCACGTACCTTGGACACACTGGGTATTGATGTGTTGTGTGTCCGAAACTAGGATTAATGACCCTAACGGGGTTATTGAATTGACTGCACCCGGCCTATCCTCTCGTTATTGGTTGCATGCATCCGGAGACGCCGATGCGGCACTCACGGGTCAAGCTGGTGTAGGTATCATTCTCAGCTCCAAGGCTGAGTCATCGTTGGTTGATTGGATTCCGGTGAACAGCCGTTTATGTGCAGCCCGTTTGACGACATCAGCTAAAATGAATTCGCGAAGTAAAACAAAACGCTGTTTGTTTGTGATTTCTGCTTATGCTCCCACGGACTGCAGTTCTAATGCAGTCAAGGACACTTTCTATCACGAACTGAACACGCTGCTACGCAGTGCTACTAGTTCAGATATTATAGTACTTGCAGGGGATATGAACGCACAAGTAGGGCGCCTGAGCTCTTCAGAAGCTCAGCTGGGTGGTAAGTATGGACTTAACGCCGAACGGACTGACAACGGCGAGCGTCTGCTGCAACTGTGTGCGGAGCACCAGTTGTTTCTTAGTAGCACTGCTTTTAGACACAGTGGGCGCCGAAGTGCCACTTGGCGTCCACCTGTAGCTGGTCAGCGATGCACCCAAATTGGCCACATAGCCATAAGTTACAGGTGGCGCGGTTCCATTCTAGATTGCCGCTCGTACTGGAGTACCTGTGTCGACTCTGACCATGCCTTGGTGCGCTGTCGTTTCTCCATGAACCTTACCGGAAGGCGCACAACGTGTCTCCTCCGATTGGCAACAGAGAAATTGTCCCAACCCTCTGTCAGACAAGCCTATCAAGAAGCACTGCATAGTGAACTCTCGCTGTCTTGTCCTAATGATACTGAACTTCAGTGGAATAGGATCTCGGCCACTATGCACGACGCAGGAGCATCTGCTTGTGGCACTATCAGTCGTCATCGCACCAGTCACTGGATATCCGAGAGGTCCGTGAACCTTTTGGAAGCTAGAAGGCACCTCCCGGCTGGTTCTGAACACAATGTGACCAGACGGGCTATTAGGCGTGAACTAAAGCGGAGCCTACGTGCTGACAAGGAAGCCTGGTGGACCAGTGGGGCTCAAGAAATGGAGGAGGCAGGAGCAGTAGGCAATTACCGGAAGCTCTTCCAGCTAATCCGCACCACTGGTCCGAGAAAACCAGGCGTCAGTGAGACAATCAGGGACAGCGCGGGTGCGCTGATACACAATAAGGAGCGCCGTATGGCTCGTTGGGCTGAGCACTTTGAACATCAGTTCAGCTGGCCCTCTGCTCCCGGACCTCTTCCTACTCAAGTGATGCAGGATGAGCCATGGGCGGTTAGTTTAGAGCCTCCGTCGGAGGCCGAGATTCGAAAAGCGATCACAGCCCTCAATCGTTTTCGTGCCGCTGGCCCGGATTCCCTCCCTCCTGCACTATTTAAGGATGGAGGTGAGGTCCTCTGCAAAGCACTGACCTCCCTATTCGAGCTTATCTGGAACGAAGAGAGTGTGCCGGCTAATTGGAGCGAATCGATTATAGTGGCAATATACAAAAAGGGCAGTCGCACAGACTGTTCTAACCACAGGGGTATTAGCCTAACGCCAGTTGTGACAAAATTACTGGCCTCGATTATCGTTCGTCGCCTCACTGCAGAACGGGAATCTCGGATTAGAGAAGAGCAGTCCGGTTTTCGCCCAGGACGTGGCTGTATAGACCATATATTTACTTTGCGGCAGGTGCTAGAGCAGCGCCACGCATACCGCAGACCGACAATAGCTGTTCCTCGATTTCAAGAGTGCGTTCGATTCGGTCGATCGATCGATTCTGTTCGAAATACTTGTGCGGAAAGGTGTTCCCACGAAATATGTGAACACCCTTCGTGCTCTATACTCGAACACTAGAGGCCGCGTCAGGGTCTATGGTGCCCTATCGGATAGCTTTTCGACTACAAGTGGCGTTCGACAGGGTTGTCCGATTTCCCCATTTTTGTTCAATTTCGTCGTGGATTCTATCATGGTGTGTTCCCTTGCGGAATCTCACGATGTAGGCGTTGAAGTGCTGCCTGGTGAACGGTTAGTTGATCTAGATTATGCGGACGATATCGTCTTGCTTTTCAACAATGTTGAGGCGGCACAATCAACCCTGAATAGCCTATCCAGAGTGGTCCCATTATTTGGTATGCACTTCGCACCTTCAAAGTGCAAAGTGTTGCTGCAGGACCACCAGCCATTCGATGACCCCTTGACGCTTGCTAACGAGGAACTCGAGGTGGTTGATTAATTCACTTATCTTGGCAGCTCCATCAGCAACGATGGGCACATAGAAACTGACGTCAGCTCAGGTATTGCAAACGCCAGTGCTGCCTTCTTGAACCTGCGGCATCTTTGGCGACAGAAGGGAGTTTCCCTTCGTCTGAAAGGCCGTGTATACAAGGCCACAGTGAGAGCCGTTCTGCTCTATGGTAGTAAAACTTGGCCCCTT